TACACCTGAAACCAATACAGTATTGTATATCAACTATATTTCGTTAAAAAAAAAGATGAGACAACCAAAGTGGTGTGCATTGAATAAGAAAGGTGTCGGAAGGACCAAGTCCTGGGACACTCCATGTATCAATGGTTGGGACAGTCGGGAGGCAGCAGACAGAGGAGGCTGAGAGGGGAGGCCTGGGAGGTCAGGAGGAAAACCAGAAGCACCCAGTGCTGGCAAGTGAGGGAGGGAGTTTCAAGAAAGAAGAGATGACCAAGTGTATCAAACGCTGCTGGCCATTCAGGAAAGGGGATTGCTGACAGCACTGAGCCTTGGGTTCAGCAATGTGGATGCCATCTGTGACCCTGAGAGCACCAGTTTTGATGGACCTGTCAGGCAAAAGCCCAACTAAGAAGAGTACAAGAGGGTGGAGGGAAAGAATTGAAGATAGAAGGTACAGCCAGCTCTTTTGAAAAGTCTTATGGTATGTTCAAATTTTTCTGCCCTAAATTTTTTTCTGTTAAGGGGGAAGATAGCTAAAGCTGTGTGTTTGTTTTTCTTCACACACACATGACAAATCATTCTGATGTTATTACAGAGGATGTCTAATTGCAAGGTTAGCTAAAAGTAGGTTTTGATGGACTTTGCAAACATAAGCTAGCTCCTTAAAGTCTCTTTTGTTTCCGTTTAAAAGAAATAAAAGAGATGTTTAATGGGAAGAAGTGATTACATATAGAAAGTTGTGTTCATTTATTTATTTTAGAGGGGAACTAACAATAATGATGGTTGATTGATTTTTATAAAATTACCCAAGGTCACTTGTGGGACATACTCAGCTTTCATGAACAGTCATAACAAGCAATTTAAGGGTCACAGCCAAAGGCTGATTTCAGCCCTGTTCTTTATTTCAGCTTTCAGAAATGTGGTCAAGCTCTATAAAGTGGAGAAATAAAGTCCTCCCACTGCCCTCCCATACTCAAGTAACTATCCTTTAAAGCAGCCCACTATATATTTGTTTTCAGCTACTAAATTGTGAGGATGAAGCTCTTGGAGCTTTGATCAAGCTAAGATTACATATAAACTTTACATTCTTTCACACCAAGAAGTTTTCACTTTGGTTGTCACTCATAGTGATTTCGATCAAAAATAGCTGAATTCCTCATCAAACTCTCTTCTTAATTTCCCTGGCTTTCCTGATACTTTCCACTGCTTAAGTGAGGAGGGAAGGCTCCTTCGCTGAGAATGACAATTATCACGTAAATTAATTATTCCCATTTTTAGATCCGCCGGACTCTTGCTGCACACAAATCATTCATTTTCTTTGGGCTGAGCTTTTCTCCCTTCATGACCATCTTTATTAGTTGCCATCCATACAGGAGGTTTTAAATTTTCTACCAATTTTTTCAGTGTATGTAATATTTTTCTTGATGGTACAAGAGACAAAACTCACGTTTATAAATTTACCTGCTGATCCTTGTAATCTGCCTCAAACTCTTTTTGGAGTGAGGCGAGGTTATCTCTACACTAACAAAATTCAAGTAAACCATATATAAACAAGCCATAGGCAAGCTTACTTAGGTTAATATGTGTTTTCCTTAAATGAACTGTGATAATCCTAATTAATGAAAAATCTGTCTGGCAGGGTTTGCAGAAGTGAATAGAATGTGAGCTTTTCTGTCAGGATCTAATGCTTTCCCATCGTCTTATTTGGATTCCTGACTGTGCGTGTAATACTTTTTCTCAAGTGAAATTCAGAGTGTGCTGTAGCATTAGGCAGTATCAGGAACACACGAGCTCCAGGTCCCCACCAATGTTAAATGCACGTCTGAGTGCCTTCTTGCAGGTGTAGATGTCTAGCACTCTCGGGCTGGCGGGAGCATCAGTGAATGCATGATTCTGCTCCACACATCACTGCTGAGGAAGCGGATCATCCGTAGGCACTGAGTAGAGCAGATTTGGAAACCGAGGAACCTGAGTTCCAGCAGTTTGGTGGGATTTACTCAGAGTCCTCAGTTCTGTACCTTGTCTCCACCATTTGCTCATCAAGGCCAATTGAGATTTCCTAACTATTTATAATGCAGAGTCCTGCCATGCCCATCTATGGTCCACTTGCTGAAGATAATTAATTGGGGGCATTAATGACATGTGGCTGCGAGTGAAAAGGCTTTAGTAAACATACCAATTGTGGCCTCTACCACAGGTGACACTTCTTCCCTTTGCCCACAGTGGGATTCATTATTATTATTGCATCTGAACTGATGACTCTTGTCACTGTAATGACAATGGAAGGGAAAATTAAAGTCGGAATTGCAAGTGGGTCCTTTGGAAGTTTGGTAAGCGGTGTGAGCACTCTAGCATCGTGCCTGGACATCACCGAAGGATAGTTTCTTGCTTCTTGGAGACTTTACCTTAGAGTATGTTCTATATGGCATTTTCAAAAGTCAGGACTACCAATGGTGAGCTGTTGGAAGGAGGTGGTCTGATTGTGCTAAAAAGATGGAGCAGCTGTGGGGATAGAGCAGTAGTAGCAGCAGTGGGGGAAGCAACAGGATGAGGGTGATGACAGTGGCCGACACCACTGCATTAGGTATCTAACGGGTCAGCCCAAGACCGGCGATCTCTAAGCAGCATCTCAAGAGAATTCTTTGAGGGAAAAACTCTTCTCATGCACATTTTACAATTGGAGAACTGGATACCCATATGGGGTGTGTTGTTCTAAACTGTGGCTGAAAGGAAAGGGCGCTTTAAGGGGTCAAGTCCAAGTAAACATCCTGTGACTGTTACTGATGGTGTGTGGCTTGTGTTTTAGGATGGAAGACTAGAAGGCTAGATGAAAAGGACTGAGGAGAGCTGGAGAGAAATGTTAGAACAGAAGGTCAGGGAAGAAGTGGCCTCCACATATGACTCTTGGGTCAAATATTTATTGATCATTATCTCTGCACTAAGATGGAGGTAAACAAAAATGACTAAAGGCATCTTAGCCTTCTCTCTCTCTCTCCCTCCCATTCTTCCAGTACATGTGTAAGTACTTCCAGTTATGATTTCTGAAAGACAACAGTGCAATTTAGTAATCTGACACAGTGGATTTAGGACTAAATTTAGCACATGAAATCTTTGCTCTTCACAGCCCCTCACCAGGACCTCACTTAGTAGAGCAGAATCGGCCTTTTTGAGCCCTTTCTCGTACCATGCCTTATCCACATCCTTTGCCTCCCATTAGCTCCTTGAGACAATGTATGGACTCACAGATTAAATGTGGTAACAAGATCTTTTTTGAGAAAGCAAGAGTGAGAGTATGTGTGTATTTGCCCATAAGGAAACAGTTACTTAAATCAGATTCTCTAAAAAGATATAACCATTTGTCATTTGCTCAACAATTCTATATGAAGTACCAACTCCCTACCAGTCAATGTTCTGGACACTGGGAATATAGAAGTCAACAAAACAGGTTCAGTGCCATTTAAGTGAGGGGAGGACAGGCAATAAACTTGTAAATATATGTCTGATGTGAAGTGCTGTGAAGAAAACTGTGTTTGAGTAACAGGTTGTGGTTGGTTATTTTACGTAGAATAGACATACACATAGAGAGGGAAGCCTCAGTGAGAAGTTAACATTTGAATGGCAACAAGAGAGAGTGAGTCATATGGATACCTGACAGAAGAACATTGCAGGTAAAGGATGAATATATGCACAGGCCCTGAGGCCTGTTTGAGGACAGGATGAGTTTTAGACGATGACGCTAAAGGAGTATTGGTATATGGGGAGGCAAATCATGAGGGGCCTTTTGGAGCCCAGTGTAAGAACTTTGGTTTTTATTCCCAGTGAGATGGGAAGCTATGGTACGGTTTGGAAAAGACCCCTGGTGTTTCCAGTGTAAAGTCACTACTCTGACCACTTTGTTGGGTCAGAGTCTAGTCTAGGGCTTCTGCAAACCAGTTCCAGGAGGGAGATGATTTAATAGCTCTGTCAGGTTACAGTGTTTATTTATATGGGATGCTTTAATTGTTTTGTCATTATTGGGAAAATTCTGCATGGAAAGTACTATAAATAGGAAATTATGTTTTAATAGCTTAAGTATTTATCCTTACAATATAAAATAATTGTATTACAAAACAATAGTCTGATGTGACAAGCAGGATGTCAGAGCAAAAGAGAATCTGTATCAGTTACGGTCATTTGGTTACAACAGAACAAACTTTCTTTTAAAAAATACGTTTATTGAAAATGTATTGGGTAGCTAACAGAATTGCTGGGAATTCTGGAAAAATCAGGTATAGAAGTGATAGCAATCAGGGCATTTCAAGGGGCTTGGCAGGTGGGGGAGGTGGGCATCCCAGAATTAGGAACTCTTCTCAGGTTTGTTAAGACACCATTCCTGGAATTCCTGAGATGAAAACATTCCTGTCCCTTTCCTCCAGATTTCCATTTCCAGCCTGGTACATGGCTAAGGCTACAGTCCTGCTCAACTCTGTTCACCAGAGCAGAGCAATTCCTTAAGGCAATTCAGGTCTATTATCAAAAGAAAAGCACAATGGGTATCGGTCAGCTAAAATACTCCAAATGTCAGGATGGGTGGCCCTAATTACTACACTTCCTTTTACCATAATTCTTATAATTTTGGCACAGTTTCTTCTATTCCTATTTCCTGTTCATGCACTTCCTAGTTTTTTACTGCTTAATTTTATATGCTGCTTCTATCTACTCCTAACTGGTAAAAATAGCAACCTTCTTAGCCCTTATTTAACCAGTCCTAAATTACTGATCATTTAGGTTACTGTCATTAAAAATAACATACTAAAGCTGCAGTGAATTGTGATAACTAACCTAAGCTGGTTTAATAATATGGTGCTTCTAGTCCTAGGTGTCTGATTCCATCTATTGTGCTTCTAGAAAAGAAGGCAAGATAAAATTCCAGCAGAAGTTTATAAAGGAAGAGGATTTGATCAAATATGAATACTGTCAAAAGGAGGTGAACCTTATCCCCCAGGCACTGACCATCCTGTCTTTCCCCTTAGGAGGCAAGCTGATTTTCATGGATCTGGGGCCCATTGAACTCAGGGTGCACTCCATCCTTGTTTCTGATGGTGGAGAGCTCCGAATTGGATCTGAGGACAAGCCCTTCCAAGGCAGAGCTGAGATCAAGCTTTATGGGAGTTCCCACTCCACCCCCTTCTTTCCATATGGTGTCAAGTTCCTGGCGGTGAGGAATGGAACTCTTTCCCTGCATGGTGAGTGAGGCAACAGGCCGGAAGAGATGAGGGTGAGCTGTGTCTAGTCAGCATGAAGGCAGTGGGGAAAATGATAGCTTTTTGTTATTGTTTTAGGTTGTTATCAACTAACGGTGGTTGGTTGGGGAGGCGATCAAGTCAATCAGAGCAGAGGCACTGTTTCCTTCAATAAGACATATGAATTGTTACAATTCCTGTGGCAGAGAACATTATGGGTCCCAATTATTCACTCTCCTTCTCGTAAGAGGGTTATATACACCTCCACCAGCGTCAGGGGACCTTCAGTGCCTCTCTGCGGGTGGGCCACACTCCCCTGCCCCACTGAGAGTGGGCTTAGCCTGTGGACTTGCTTTGCTCAAAGGGATATGAGGGGAAATGAGGTGCTGCATGGCTAAGTAGTTTTAAGAGCTGTTACAGTACGTGGGCTGCTTGTCCCCTGCTTGGGAATAGCCAGCCCCTGATGGCGGGAGCTCCTTCAGCCTGGGGACCTGATGGTGGCAACAGGAAGCTGCCCTGCCGTCCACCAACTGCTCTTCTGTTCGGGAGGGAGGAATACACATTTGCTGCCGTGAGCCACTGAGAATTGTTGTAACTGCAGCACAGCCTAGTGAAAACTGACCGACAGAGTTACTCAGTATAGACTGATGGCTGTGTACAGTGATGGCAGCATGAACCAGGTAGAGGCGACTTCACAGTGCGGTGTCTGTGGCCGTCTTCCCCTCCTGTGAGTGGGGTTTGGGTGGAGTTCTACTCAATACAGTCTTACAGATGGGTTGGGTGTTTCTGGGTTTCTGGGGATGAACAGGAATTAGGCTACAGTGTTTCTGCTCCAATTTTATTTGCCCTCTGATCGACCTGATCCTACTTCGCAACATGGACATATTTATTTTCCTTGAGATTCAGGAAATTGCTAAGTGTGCCAGGATAATCCTTAGTAGCAACTGAAAAAATGTTAAGTTTGAAATGATGAGTTTTAAGTATCTTTCCGTGGATACTTATATAATTTCATTTACATAGTATGAGCCAAAGGCAGATCAAAACATGGGTTCCAATAGTGGCCCATCTCCAGAAAACATGATGTCATATACATTGGCATGTCTATATGGGCACAATAAAACAAAACCCTACTACCTATCAGAATAATTTTTCTAGTCATGGACATGTAGCTATGCCTAGAGGGGTCTGCCGTTTTGCTCCATCAAGGCTTTATGATACTGTAGCCCCCTGCCAACCCCCATCCATGAGGGATACATTCCAAAACCCCCAGTGGGTGCCTAAAACACAGGTAGTACTGAACCCTATATTATTTTTTTTACTACATATACATTACCTATGATAAAGTTTAATTTATAAATTAAGCATAGTAAGAGATCAGTCATGGTAACTAAAAATAAAATAGAACAATTTTATTAGTGCTGTAGTCACTGTCTCCCAAAATACCTTATTGTACTGTTGTCATGCTTCTTCCTGTGATGGTGTGAGATGATAAAACGCCTGTGTGATGAGATGAAGTGAGGAGAGTGACATAGGCATTGCGACCTAGTGTTAAGCGACCGTTGACCTTGTGATGACTTGTAGGAAGGGGGATCATCTGCTTCAGGACCACGGTGGATGGTGGGAAACTGAAGCTGCAGATAAAGGGACATCACTGTACACTGTGGGCCCTGATCGTTGTTTACTAAAGGGCACTCTCCTGCCTCTTTTTCCTACTCCGAGGGGAAGTGAGATCTTTTCATTAAGCATGTATTAAATGTTGGCTTTGGACCAGCCAGAGTGATACACACAGGGGATACATTTTGGAAAGTTTTAAAAGACCCTTAACTATCTGGACAGAAATTCAAAATACCCACAATTTTGATCTTATGTCCTTCCTCTAAGAAGGACACTTTTTCCTTTCTTTATCAGCAAGCAGTTACATTGATCTTGTAGCCCAGGATCTATAAGGGTTTTCCATCTATTCAGATGTCAGCTCTGGTCTTCAAATGTTTGCACTAGTCCAACTGCCAGTTAGGTCACCAGCCCAATGTTTTTCTGTTTACCTCTGAAAAAACACAGCTGGAGAAGAAGAGGGCACGGACCAGTGTTTCTGCCAATGTATAGACCATCTGCGGGGCCCTGAAGCTTACTAGGGATCCTCTGATCTGAGAGCCACTGTCCTATATGATACCGATGGCACAACTCTTTCTAGAAATGGAAGTTCCAATGAACAAGAGTGAAAACTCTATTTCACTCTGCTTCTTTCATTTCAGCTCCTCATTTTCTTAATCTGTTATGAAGGATCAGCATAAGTATACCTTTATGTGCCTGCACTTTAAATGCATCTTGTACTCCTAAGCTTTTTGTTTAAACAGATGTCAAAGTAAGAAAATTCCTGGTGCCATTGCTACAACCAACATGGAGCAATTAAAGCCAAGAAGATCCTTCCAATATGTTTTGAGAATTCTGAAAGTTAGAAAAATGTTGCTACTTTAGCCCTGTGATGTTACTGGACATTGAAAGGAAAGGGACCTCCTCTCCGCCCCCCTCATTTCCATCTTCTCCCCTCTACTTCCTCCCCTCCCAGCCTCCCCTGCCTTCCTTGTCTTTCCCCTTCTCCCTCCCTCCTCCTCTCCTTTCCTGTATTCCCAGGGTGAGGTCGTCATCAGCAGTTGTTTTACCCATCACCCCGCAGCCCTGCTGATACAGGATTGACTAGGATCTCTCGTGAACCAAGAGCTTTCACAGTGAACACAGCAAAGTCAAGCTGTTTTCTCCTCTGACGTGAGGCTGCTGCATCTTATCCACCTGAAATAAGTATTATGTAGAGAAGAGCTTAGCCACTGGGTGAGAGGGATTCCCATGCCATAGCCCCTGTCAGAATCCCCCTTTCCCCACTATCCCTCACACATGAGGTGGCAGACAGATTTTCCCACCAGTAAGACACTAAATCATGGTCAAAATTGTTACTTACTTTCACTGGCCTTTTCCCAGGGCCAGAGATGGGTCTCCTGACACTGGGGCTTTAGGGAAAAACTAATTTCCTTTTGCTGTCAAGTATGCAAAATAGCAATCAACTTGATTCACTGCTTTGCATGCTAAAGTCCCTAACAACCCAGCATTCACTCAGTTTCCTAGGATGAGGTAGAGAGAAGATTCACCTATGTTAGTGCCCAGAACACTCTTCTTGAGGAAATCATTGAAGTCCAGGTTTCCGGGCCTCACTTCCAGGGTCTGACTCAAGGTGGGCCTGTGGTGGGACCCTGAGGAGGCCTGATTTAGGCGGCCCACCGATGACACTTGGAGAAATGCTATTTTTAGTAGTTAATAGTTCAGGAATCAGACATCAGTCCAGTTTTGCTACTTATCACCTATGATCTTGGGCAAATTCGTCTCCATAAAGCCAGGAAAACACAGCCCCCGCTTCAGACTTACTGCTGGTGAGCTGCTCCAGTGTCTCTGGCTCACAGTAATACTCAAGCAGTGTCAGTTATGGCTATTTGGATGATTTCCCCTTTTTCTTCCCCAAAGCGCTGTGTACTCACTGCCAATTATCTCATATTTTCTTTTAGGTGGGAGGGGGAGAGGGCCTCGCATTTCAAAACTTGGCATGGGGCCAGCTCTGCTTAGAGATTTTCCTCCTTATTAATTTTCTTGTCTACCTCTTTCCATCAGAGCAAGAGAGAGGTTTTAGCTTTGGAGATCATGAGGCAGTGACATTCCCAGGCATCTTCTGTTCTGTTCCCACCGCGCAGCAAATACTTTCTGATTTTAATCTCTCGTGGGGCGGCTGCTTCCCAGCAGTGGATAAGCACCATTCCTGGGCGTGGTTACAATAAAGGCTTCTTGGAAGCCCTTTGCATGAGCTTCAGGACAGCCAGAAGCAGAGCGTTGCCCAGAGAATGGAGCCTTTTGCAGGCATATTATTCTTAACATCCAACAGTAAGAGGACTGACTGACAGATACTAATTTAGCTCCAGCTCAGGTCATAGAGAATCACACAAATGGGTCTGCCTGTCAGTAATAGAGTTTTCCCTCCTTCTCCCGCCCATCTCATTTTTCATTGCCACCCCTTGTAACCCTTCTGCTCCAGTTGATTTTTATCGTAGATTAATATCACTAAAACCAACAGGCATTGCTGTTCAGCTGTCATGAGGAAAGATGGAGTTGAAAGCGCATTTCATGTTTTTCTTTTAAAAGCACACAGTCACCCCCTGCCCCCCACCCCCACCCCACCCCCACACACTTGCATGAACACACACCCAGCGCCATCTTTCTCTTTCTCTGTTTTGGGATTGACTGGCTCAAGGTAGTTCTGAATCTCTGGTGGAGTCAGACGCTTAGAAAATTATGTCACCTGCTCACTCCGCTGTTAATATGTCTGAAGGGCTGCAGGATTCCTCCCAAGTGGCAGTCTGTGGTGTGGGTGCTTGTAGTCAATAAGGAAACCTCATTCTTGCCTTTTGCTTTCCCCTCTGCCTGCCAATCCGGGGTCACCACCCCACCCCGAGTGCCAATCACTTGTCACTCTTCCAGGGGGTCGCTGTCGGCCTGGGCAACTTGAATTTTTGACAATGTAATTACGGCCCTTGCTTCCACAGTGGGAGTCCGCACAGGATGTGGGGCTTTATTGATTGTTCAGTGAGGAAATTTATCAATGTCTCTCACTTCATTTCCAGTTCCTCCTTGAGAAACTTAGCTGACAGTTTCTTAGGAGAAAAAGCAGTCTTATGGCCTTGAATGGACTTCTGCCTTTGTCCTTTTCAAGAAACTACAAGATGCAGGCATTAAATATAAATGGAAATTTCTGAGAAAAGCTAGCATGTGGGGGCATGATTGGGGAAAACACTGGCGCAATTGTTATGAACCGAAGAATTTGGTAGAAATAAATAAGAAAAATGTAGCCCAAACAAACTAGTTTAGATATGGTTTGTTTTCCTTCTTAAACTATCAAGTATCTGTGTTTAAATTCCATGAGTTTTGTAAGTCCTGTGTTACGGGCACTGTGACTACAGTTGCTAAAG